TACATGTACATTGATATAATTTCATGGCAGTCAGGAATTTACCGGTACTATGAGATCTCGTTGGGAGGTTGTGAGTTATGTCTGCTGCACTGCTGCAGGTCAGAACTTAAGATGGGTATTTTTTACTGCTAAAAACACACACTTTTGCAATTAAATTATCTGTTGATAAATTAAGGTCAATGAAGAGTAAATAGGCTATGTCACAGGTTTTACTAAAATTTTACATACAACCTAAGACAGCTCGTTGAACTATAACTTGAAATCGAAAAAATAATGCATTTATCTCTTTTATTATCTGAAATATTACTGATTGAATTCTTTCAAAATAGGTGAACATTTGTATAGAAAGCACATAAAATTGGCGAAAAACTTTCATAAATTTGTCTTAAAATCATCAAATCTTTAATTTCCAATACATAGATTTTTCTTAAAAAACTATATGTTGTTGATACATAAATTTCTGTTTTAATGATATAAAATAATCATATGGTCACCTACTTCATTTTTTGTCTAATAACCAATCTGTTACCTAGTGGGTAGTGAAAAACGTCAAACATTAATGTTTCCTGGCCTGCAACGCGGTGACATTACAATTATTTCTACATTTTGTGGTATTTTTTCACATAGAACACCACTTTGAACGATGTATACTGTAAAATCAAAGTTAGTGACCCTATCATTATTTTACATCATTCAAACAGAAATTTATGTATCAACAACATATAGTTTTTTTATGAAAAATCTATGTATTAGAAATAAGAGATTTGATGATTTTAAAACAAATTTAAGAAGGTTTAAAGCCGATTTATGTGCTTTCCATCTAAATGTTCACCTTTTTTGAAAGAATTCAATCATTAATATTTCAGATGATAAAAGAGATAAATGTATTATTTTTTTCGATTTTCAGTTATAGTTCAATGAGCCAGAGTTTTATGCAAAATTTAAGCAAAATCTGTGATATAGCCCATCTACTGTAACTTGACCTTAAGGTTCAAACTCCCACAAGCAAAGTTGACCTTAGATGGATTTGGTAATTCTTTTAGACCCATTTTGATCCTATAGAATTTTTCTTGTTAAAATAGTTACACATCTTTGGCTTTCAATTTTTTTGGAGTATGAGCCTTCCAGAAAAGCGCTTCAGACGCAACATATTTATTAACTGCTAAAAATGCAGCATCTATCATCTTTATGAGTAAGAAAATGCATTGGAGTAAAGTGACCAGTCTTCTTGCAGACTTTTACCTTGATAGCTACCGATTAAAAATCCATTTCAGTATATCTGTGTAGTACAAATCATAAAATTGAGAATGGAAATGGGTAATGTGTCAAAGAGACAACAATCCGACCAAAGAGCAGAAAACAGCCCAAGGCCACATACACATGTACTACAATATTTTTTGTGTTGATTAAGCAAGTAATATTTCATACTGAACACAAAGAAGCCATCAGTCATGGCTGACAGTTTTGATAGTGGAGAAGAAGAGTATACCTGAAACTTTTGAAGTATGGGAACCATATTTGAATGTCCTAATCGAAGAATTGAAGCTAAATACATTAACTGTACCTAGAATTCTATACAAGTTGCTACCCTTCTGGGAATAAGTACTGGTTCCCTGCAATGAAGAGCAAGGGATGGTAACTTCCAACAAAATCAATATAATGTTTTACAATTTCAGGACTTCTGACATTGTTCATACTTCTCCAGGAAGAGGATTTATTAACATGATGTTTAGCAAATGATTTTCTGGACTGCACTGATCACAAACATAACACAGGTCTAATAAAGTCACTGTACCATGAAAAATTAAGCCAATGACAAACAAAATAAATGGTTTACGTCTTCTTACTTTTCCACGTAATATTGCAAATTCAATTCATCTCGGAACAGTCTGACAGTCCCATACAGAACAAAACTACAGTTTTTACTTTCAATCTTTACTTTGTACTAATATTTCATAGAACAATTTACAACACAACCACTTAAACAATAAAGTGAATAATACCTAACTGTTATATCTTTGCACATTTACCTAATGTATACAAAATTATGAAAAACGATAGTCATATATCCACCCCCCTCATTCTACATAAATTTCATCACCAATTTTAATTAAAAGCAATTTTAAACATATTTTGAGATTTCTTATCAATTTTTCCTTTTCCATTTTTTCCTAATAATTTTAACCTTAATAGCCATCAAATATAAGCAATAATAGTCTTGTTCTCTTGTTGAAAAATGACAATATACGAATAGATTCAGTCAAACCAGTAAATAAAGGCCACCCTCAAAACTATAGAAAACTGACCTATTAAGAGAGGTGACCTTTCAACTGAGGTTCAAAATGCAAAAGTATAATATCACTACAGGAGGAAAAGAAGAATTATAGGAACAGGAACAGTCAAAAATGGTTTCTAAATGACCATATTTGCTATGCTAAACTGAAAACTGTTTATTCTGATAACAACTGACTGTTGTGGAGACTTTCCAAAGACATTGGTATATAAAACTTGTTTCAAAAAATAAAATTATAGTACTAAGTTAAAGAGAAATACTTGTAACATGTCTATAATTGTTTACATGATAGCTAACATGCATGTTAAGTAAAAGTATATCCTCTTTGACTAAACAAAGAAGGCAGTGATAAAACCAGTCTCTGTAGATGTCTTTCATATAATCATATTTTGCATATTTCATGAATTCTTTCCTTCAAAAATAACTTTCATTTAAGACTAAAAATATGTACAAATAGTTTGAAAAAGAATTTCAGATTTAAATTTATATACAAAAAAAAAACATCCAGTGTATAAAAAAAGTTTTTCATAAAAAATAAATAAACTAAACTTGATGTTTTGTATCTATCATTATTTTTTTAAACACTCAATTTTGTTGAAATTTTGAAGTTCAATGTAAAAATAGAAGAAATTCAAAGTTTGTAACTCAAAATTAACTCCATTTGAATTCAAATAAATCTTCATTAGCATATTTGTATAAATATGTGGAGAGTGTCTGCATAAAGTTCATAATAAGGTGTAATTTTCCCAGCATAGTATTTTTTACACATCTAAAGTTTTAACTTTTACTGACTTGACGCAGTTTAATATAGAAATGCCCATTCCACACACAATATTTCGTTATTGGTAATCTATATAACTTTTTTTTAATCTAGGGACTATTCAGATGTACTTAGATAAAGATTTTAGTACATTTAAATGATCAATACCATATAATGCTCTTCTGTAGATTCAATTTTTTTTCTCACTTTATCAGGGACAAAAACAAACATTAAGCATTATAAAATGAACAGTAGTAAAGGTCAATCATAACACATTCATAATATTAGATTCATTTTTATCTCACATACCTTTCCAAAGTATTTTCTAATAAGAGCAGCATAAAAATATTTACAAAATCTACATAAATGCCATAAATCTGTATGTATCAATACAAATTCTGAGGTCACACTTCAATCTATAAAAATCTGATAAAAAAACATGTACACATACAAATTTTAACACTATATATAGCTATACAGGTTTGAGGAAAGATAATTTTTGTAAATTAGAAAAATTTCATCATAATACTTGTATAACCATTGTCAAATTTTACCAGAGTTATCTCCCATTATTGTGTAGATTTCTCATACAGAACAATTTTTAACATTTATTTCAGGTGCATTTCATTAACAAAATTTGTCATATTTTTATTATTTAAATAGAATATTTCTTTTAATAAAAGCTTCACTACTGTGGAATTTTAACTATTACTCAAAATGGAGATAACCCCTTATTGATGACAGTAGAAAAAAATACATTTTTCTTTCATTTTAAACTCACTATGAGTTATTTCCCTTTCTGAACAGGTACCTTCTTGAAGCTTATAAATCAAATTTTGAACTTGAATTATTTCAATAACTGTGTAGACATTAAATAAACAAACAGATACAATTTGGATTTCAGATCTTCGTACAATAATGACAATTTTGCTAATTTAGAAATTTTCTGGAAAAATTGGACGCTGCTATATCATGACATATGGGACTCCAAAACTGATGATCAGCTGAAAAATATTTATAATAATAGGCTGTGCTAAATATTTGCCAAGATATAAATTGACTGACAGTCATGTTATAAATTCTGTAGTTTAATCCATGTATTTTTTTAAATGGTCAATTACAGTATGGAATCCTCTTTTCTTTTTTAATATTTCTTAAATATTTCTCATCTTTATTATTAATATTATATGCAAATTTTAAGAAAAGAATTCAAGGAAAACTCTTTGAATGACATAACAATTTGGTTTTTTACAACAATCTTTATCTTAAGGATCATACAAATTTTCAATAAACACACAACAAAGTATGCATTAGAACTAGCATCTAGATTAAGGTATTCAGGCAGTGTTTAAAAATAATGCCAATAAATGTTAAACATGTTCAACAAAAGTTTTTTTTGGCTACTGACTTTTATCTAACAGTTTTTTTTTTTATATGATAAAAAAGTTATTGTGTTTCAAAACAAACAAAAAACAATGAATTGTAAACTCTATTAATAGTCACATGCTCAATAACTAGCAAATTCAGAAAATGGACAAAATGTTTTCTAAAATATTGGAAATTATAAACCATGACAACCGGAGATTATGCTCTTGATAACATTAAATGCAGCTACAATTTAGGAGTTGTGGGGATGTGTCAATGAGACTGCAGTCATTTTCATGTTCTTTTTTTAACTAAAGGAATGCTTTTTAACATCATTTATCAATAAGAAGCTAGTATCTAAAAGTTAAAGTAAAAGTACGTAAGTGATCTGTTTATACAAACATTAAACCATTCTATCAATACACAATCAAAATCTGTTTGTATCAGTTTACCAAGATTTTTTATTTTTTTAAATTTATGCAATATAAATATTTTTATAAATTCAAGCGTTGACAAAATCTACCTTGAGAATAAACGTATGACATATATGAATAATACGTCCCGTAAACGGGCGTATAAAAATAATATCTTTACTAAATTGTAACAAACATTAAAAATCAACTATAATAGGCCCGATAACACAATTAATATAAAAAAAACAGCACCTGCGCTTTCTCAATAATATTTTCAGTCTGGTGTATTACTTTTCGAGACAAATTATAACACAATTATAGAAAACCTCATCAGCTCTAACTCAAAATATGAACAATTTTATGTTCGGGGGTCTTGAATTTAATTTAACAACTTCTCATATACTAATTTTTGACCTTTTTCAAATGGAACAAATCACTTCTTTACTTTAAAATACATATCCCAAATTTCTTAAGTGTAATTACAACCCCTTACATGCTATTTGAGGCATAAAACATGAAGAAATCAATTTAGGAAGGTGTATGAAAAATGTTTGAAAGTAATACACTGTCCACACTAGGGACTGTATTTGTAGACAAAGAAAATCAAAGGGCTATAATTGTGTCATTGGGCCAATCGCTATCACAAACTTTTATAAAAAGTAAGCAATTTCTATCTACTACTTGGATTTACAAACTAGACAACTCTGCTTCAAACAAAAAAAGCTGCCTTAAACAAACAATTAAAAACATGGCAATATACAGGTTGTAGTAAAAATTCCCTTCTAACAAATTAAAAGGAGTAACTCATTACATTGAAACAACAATTTTACTATTTGATATCTAAACTTTGTAATCATTAACAAGTACATGTAATATAGATCGATACTAAATAATAATGATACAGGATATAAAAATGAATTCCTGTAATAACAGCATTCAAAAAAAGTTTCTTGGACCAAAATGACCAAAACTACAAAAGTCTTTTAGCATTTTAGTGAATAAACATTCAATCTTCATAAACATGATAAAAGAGAAGATAAAATCAAATATCAGAAATATATAGCCTAACAGTGCAAGTGAAAGATAAGTATGTCCTGAGAAATATAATTCAATTTTAATCAATCACACAAATTATACTGAATTCCACAGTGAACACCCCACCCTCCCCAAAAGTGCTCAAGAAAATTCAAAGATGGGCCATTTTAAAAGGCAGAAAGTTCATCATACTGTTCCGTTTGAATTGACATGTCTGAGTGGGCACTTGAAAAATACTCAGATCACTAAGGACTGAATAAATCTCAGTTTGAAAAAAAACCCAAACTCAAAACAAACAAATTAAAATATGCTGCCACACTTTAAATGACAATTTAAATATCCATTATTCATAGGTGTTCCATTAAATCATACATCTTTAGTCAGGGAAGGCACTGAAAATGTGGTTACCATCCACTGAGGCAAATTTAGGATTTGTTTTCCATTTTCAATGTCTTTAACACCCATCCATAACTGAGACTTGTAAGTGCCTTCCCTAGGTCATATGTATGCTTTTATGGAACGGCCCTAGGGACGTGAAGTAAGCATTGGTGGTCTATCAAGCTTTTCTACTTTGGATTAAGACGTCGACTTAAATTGGGGAGAGGATTTTGAATAGCACATAATGTTATAATTATGTGTTCATGGGAGGTTGTCTCCAATGAAATATTTAAAAAGAAACATAACATTTATAAGTACAGTCTACTAAGTGGTCTCATGTTCAGTATCTTGGTCCGACCGAATATCAAACTGAACTAAAATGAGTGGACATTATTTTCTGCATCTATGTCATCATTTCATAGTGAATGATGACTGTCGACACTATTTGATGATTTCATTGGTTGTTCATGGAGTAGGCGTTTCTGGAGGTGTGATTGTCTCTGTGGATATTGTTCTTTTGGGGCAAGGGACTTCTGCTTCCTCTAGACCACGCTTTTTCTGACCAGGCTGAAAAAGTTCATAAAACATTGTATTACTACTAGACTAAGTTTGAAATCATAGTTACAATTAAAAGTATATTAATAAAGGCAGAATTTTCTTGGGCTGATATTTCTTTTTTGTTGTAGCCACAATACTGTTTTCTTTTCCTTTATTGTGACATCACAAAATGAGACTTATCACCAAAATCATAGTTACTGTGAGGAGCATGATGGGTGCACCATGTGAAGTGGGATCTGCCTACCCTTCAGGAGCATCTGAGATCTCCCCAAGTTTCAAGTGGGGTTTGTGTTGCTTAGACTTGTTTTCTGTGATGTGTTTTGTAGACCGTCGTTATACTTTTAGACACTTTTGTTTTTAGGTGTGGTTTCGTTGGTTTCTCTTTGATTTATAAACTTTGATTGTCCCATTTGGTACTTTCTGGCTCTTTTTTGACATAAAATTGAGAAATATATTAGTTGCCTATCCCGCAGTTACTATGGAATAGATATTCCTGTCTCTTGGATGAAACAATATACATATCCCGTTTTCAAAGGTTTTTAAAACTTTTTCCAAAAAATTATTTGAATGTTAAGAAAAAAACATCAGACACCAACCAGAATGTAAGACTAGAAAATCTAAGGAACCATCAAGTAAAACTTCCCAGGGATTAAAAAGTCCACTAGCCCGACGCCCGGGACCATAGCATTTAGGCCTCGGGCAACCAAAACTTGTAACCCAATATGCCCGACGGACTAGTAACAAAAAATTCTTGGTGTTTCCAAAATAGAAAGTGGAAAATCCCCTCATCACTATTCTATCTTAGCCAATCAGATTCAACTACGTCGTCCAGGATTCCCAGAATTTGAATTGATTTTGTACAAGTTTTAAAAATAGAACAAATAACTCTGGGTTGATCCCGTACTTTCAATATCAATTTGTCAGTACAGGGGGTATTGTACATTGCTTATGAAACCAAAGAAATATAATGTAAGCTGATTGTACCTCCTTCTGAATAATTTATTGCAATATAAATGTGAATCCCTTTTGACAGGAGAAACCTGACTTTTGTCAGATATAAATTTATAAATTTATAAATTTGTAACATGTGCATGATCACATGTTATGGACGCCATTTTGTTTTTGTTAACATACCGTGAAGAAGCCTCCAGAACCATGACCTAAACATTAACAGTCTTCAGAAAACTTAAACTTGATGCAATAATATTTCATCAATCATGATGTATAAATCTTCATTGATATTCAAATAAATTTGATTTCTAAAGAAATAAAATTTATAACTAATATAATTTCAGTTTAGAGACTGTACTCAGTTTGTAATCTATTTATAGCCCACAATTAGCTTTCCTGTTAAAAATGTAAATATGGACATTACTTCGTTTATAAAACAATTATAAAAGTCACAAACTATTGATGGTTGATATTTATTTTTAATAAATAGGATTTTAAAACTGAAAACAAATATGAGCATTACATATAACCAGCTGATAATTCTTTTACACAAACGTGATGATGTATCTGATAAAAATCCTTTTATATAACCATGTATAACAGTGGTCAAGACTTGTACCATCTCAGGATTTGGTCAACTCATTATTGCAGAATATTCAATGAATATACAATTATCGGTTAATTGAATATATCGGCTAATGGGATATTTTTTTGCTGACATAAGTTTTGGGTATATATCCGATTTGCCAAAATCTACTGTACCACGGATAAAAATTGTTAAGTTTATAGAATTCATTGTATTATGCAGCAAACTCTGAATTTGTAAGACATACTCGGGCTAGCAGGTCAGTTTTGATGGGCTTGTAGTTCTTCCAACAGGGCTAGTAAAATCCTGCTACCAATTAGCCCTGGGCTATTGAGCTGTAACAAAATTTCTTAACCCCTGCTTCCAGATTGGAAATTAAGACTTGGGTGTCGAGATTTCCAGTCTCTTAATTTGTAATTTTTTAATGTCTAATCATTATATGATATTATACCTCAAAACTCTTACTCCAGTTAATAGAAAAATAATAAGTAATTTGGTTCTCTTATAACAAAAGTAATTCTTATCAAGAAAAACCAAAAAAGGTTTATTAGTTCCACAGATTTCTTAAAAAGGGCTCAAAGGCAAAGTCAAGAAGTAACACAAAGCCCATTGATTTGAAAATACAGTAGAATATACTGTTATACTTACAGTGCCAATAGGAGGAATCATCCCATCAGAATCTGGATACATTAAATCTCTTGCTTTACTCATCATCTCTTCATCCTGTTCAATAAAATCTTACCAGTTATTCAATAATTGTAATATGCAATATCATAAACAAGAGGCTCTCAAGAGCCTGAATCACTCACCTGTATTTCAGAGGAGAAGATTTTTAAATGTTAGCAAACTTGATGAACAAATTGTGTAAAATTGTCTTTAAAGGGCAATAACTCCTTAAAGGGTCAATTGACAATTATGGTCATATTAACTTTTTTGTAGATCTTACTTTGCTGAACATTATTGCTGCTTACAGTTTATATATATCTATAATAATATTCAAAATAATAACAAATAAAATGCTTCGCTGGGCGCAGCTTGATACGACCGCAGAGGTCGAACCCTGAACAGTTGGGGCAAGTATGGACACAACATTCAAGCTTGATACAGCTCTGAATTTGGATTGTGATTAAATATTTGACACAGCATAGGTTTCTGACACAGAAAGAATGTGGTCTAAGAACTTCAATTTTTTTAATTTACCTATTATGATCCAATGTCAAAAATCAAAATACATGGTTAGATTCAGCATATCAAAGAACCCCATATATTCAATTTTTGTTGAAATCAAACAAAGTTTAATTTTGGACCCCAACTTGGACCAACTTGAAAACTGGTCCCATAATCAAAAATCTAAACACATGTTTAGATTCAGCATATCAAAGAACCCCAAGAATTCAATTTTTGTTAAAATCAAACTAAGTTTAATTTTGGACCCTTTGGACCTTAATGTAGACCAATTAAAAAAAACGGGACCCAAAATTAAAAATCTAAATACACGGTTAGATTTGGAATATCAAAGAACCCCAATAATTAAATTTTTGATGAAATCAAACAAAGTTTAATTTTGGACCCTTTTGACCTCAATATGAACCAATTTGATAGCGGGCCCACAAATAAAAAATCTAAATACATGTTTAGATTCAGCATATCAAAGAACCCCATATATTCAATTTTTGTTAAAATCAAACAAAGTTTAATTTTGGACCCTTTGGACCTTACTGTAGACCAATTTGAAAACTGGACCCAAAATTAAAAATCTAAATACACGGTTAGATTCGGCATAACAAATAAATAAATGTGGTCAAAGATTTTACAAATCTAATGCGCCATACTGGTCTTCCTTTATAAATATGCATTTCTTTAAACATAATTTAAAAGCAGTGTAAGGGAAGTAACCAAGTAACCAAAACGTTGTATTCTGATTACCTCCCTTACACTGTTTTAAATTATCTTAATTGTTCATTAACCATTACTTTATACATAATTTAAAGCAGTGTAAGGGAGATAATTTCAATGATGTATTTGATTTATCTCCCTTACACTGCTTTAAATTATGTTTTGTACTAAAGTATTTGTCCATTAATGAGGACAACCTTGTTTTTCCCCCTTTTTTGCCCCTAATTCTTAAACGGTTTGAGCAATAACCCCCCAAAAGCAAATCCTAACCATCCCTTTGTGGTATGGAAACTTGTAGTATAATTTCAGAGAGATCCATACACCGTTCCACAGTTATTGTCTGGAATCTAGAAAATGCTTATTTTTGGCCCCTTTTTGGCCCCTAATTCCTTAACTATCTGTACCATAACCCCCAAAATCAATCCCCACCTTCCTTTTGTGGTATTGAACCTTATGGTAAAATTTCATAGAGATCCATTCACTTAAACTAAAGTTAGAGTGCGAAAACTAATGCGTCTTCGGACGACGACGCCGGACGACGACGCCAATGTCATACCAATATACGACCACAAAAATTTTTTTGCGGTCGTATAAAAACTGCAAAATTTTGTTATAACTACCAATTCGGTGGCAGCAACCCAACAATGGGTTGTTCGATTCGTCTGAAAATTTCAGAGCTGATAGATCTTGACCAATTGAAGAAATTTACCCCATGTCAGATTTGCTCTAAAAGTTTTAGTTTTTGAGATATAAGCCAAAAACTGCATTTGACCCTTTGTTCTATTTTTAGCCATGGCGGCCATGTTTGTCGATGGATCAAAACTTCGGATACAATTTATAAACTAGATACCCTAAGGAACATTTAGTTAAAGTTTGAAGGTATTTGGCCCAGTAGTTTCAGGAGAAGATTTTTGAAATAGTTTACGACGACAGACGACGACGACAGAAGACGGACACCAAGTGATGGCATAAGTTCACATAGGGCCCTTCGGGCCACGGTGAGCTAAAAATTATGTTAAATTCAGAACAATGAAAAACGAAAATTTTAGAATTGGATATGTCCATATCGAAATATTTCAGAAACTTACAGAATGAAAATAAAAATGAATCACATATGAACTATAGAAAAGTAATTTTTGCTATTTAAAAGACATTTAATTTCCAAAGTACTAACCTTAAAGGGTTTTAGGTTGTTACGGAATATAAACACTAAATACATGTTAAGATAAAAAGTCATCAGAATTACCTCCCCTTATAATTCAAATCTTTACATTTTTTTGAATCAATAAGTTACAACCATATGACAAAATCTTATAAATATCTTCATTTAAAATGAAAAGTCCAACTACTAAATTGCTTTCCTGCATCAAACTTCATTAATTTAAGTCAAAATCTTTACTGATAATTTACAATTATCTGTGATCTAAGATGGTGGGATATGTCCATGTTACTCTTTTTGATAACAAATTTGTTTGTTGGTTTTTCAGAGATAAATATAAATTGTAACCATAAAATTGAGTTCAGAAAATTAATTTTTGGTGACCTTGTGTAGTTCTGATCTTTGTTTACATCTGTTATTTATGTATTTGGTTTTAAAGAGTTATGACATCTAATTCCTAAAATTTACCATTCATGAATATTGTTCGTTTTACAAGATCTAAATCAATTACAAGGTTCAAACACTTAAGGCTATTTTTTTCTGTTTTCTTAACTTACTTTGAACCATGGGTGACTTATTGCATCACTTAAGACAATTCTTTTCTTGACATCTACAGTCATTAGTTTCTTGATTAAATCAATTGCTGAAAGGAAGAAAAAATCATAAATCAGACAATTTTACAGCTCCCATATAGAGATTTGTAGACTAAGTAAATGAAAGAACCAGTATGCAAAAACAATCATTGTTTGGATAGTTGTCTCATTGGCAATCATACCACATCTCCTTATTTTTGTATAGCCTTCTACATAAATTAAGATTCCCGCCCACAGTGTTAAAGAGTAATGTGGATTTCATTTATCAGTTAAGTTATGAAAAATTAAAATAAAAGAAGAATATGTCGGAGGACACATATGCCCTCCCTCATGTTTTGAAACGAAAATAAGACAGACAGACAGAACGGAAAGACCAAAGGAATGAAAAACAGATGGTCAAGGGTAACACTTAATGCCCCAATCGCCTACAACGGGGGCATAAAAATTTAAACATTTTTCTTCACATGCTATTTCTTGATCTTAAAAAGCTTCTGTTCAACTTTCATAACATTCAATGCCGGTTAAACTGAGTCACCGATGTTGAAAAATGTTCATCCTGGACTGAATGTATATGTAAACTACAAAAAATTCAGTCCATCTATCAGTAAAATACTGAAAAATGTCAAAAATATATTTTCAAAATTTTGCTGAAATTTCATAAAATTCAAATAGATTTGAAAAGCTTCTGTCAAAGTTTCTGTAATTTCCATTATATTTTGACAAATTTGTTGACGTTAGAAAAACAATGACCTTAGACTGTAGCTTAATGTTGCTATAAACTAAAAAAAAATAAAGTCCATTTATCAGTTTAATAGGGAAACAAATATTTTCTATTTCAGTTGAAATGTACATGATCATTGTAACAAAAGGATTAACTTACATCCATTACATTTGAACTTTGATGGATAATTGTCTCATTGGCAATCATACTACATCTCCTTATTTTCATATTATCAGATAAAAGAAGAATGTGTCTGAGGACACGAATGCCCCCTCTCAAGCTTCAAACAAACGAAAATGGGACGGACGAAAGGAAAGACAGATGGACGGAAAGACCAAAGGATGGACGGTCAAGGGTAACACTTAATGCCCCTGTCGCCTACAGTGGGCGCATAAAAAAAGTAGAAAAATATTTTACTTGTGACCAAACAATGCTGAGGATTTTAATGTGATTAAATTAAGATTCAAATTACCATCTTCTGATATATTGCTCCAGTACTGTTTTGGGAATGTGAAGTGTCCACCAAGAATTTGTTTTGGTAGTTCCATGTCTTTTCTTTCATCAGAAAATGGAGGGTACCCTGATAAACTGAAAAATATTATAATACAACTAAATTTAAAATTCATCGTTTAGTTTATGAAAAGTTTAATTTTGAAAACACATCACATGGTAAAACATGCTCTCATTCAGCTTTTTACATGTTGTGGATTCTTTTATTTTCATGGGTACCAATTTTTGTGGTCTAATTAAAAACTGTTTTTTTCGTTGATTTTTGATTTTGTGGTTTTACCAGTCTGCATACAAGCCTATTGAAAATTCATACTTTGTTGAACATTTGAATTGGTGGAACCATTAATTATCAATGAACATTTGAATTGGTGGAACCATTAATCATCAATAAGTTTTTAAGAGTTGTGATTCATGGTTAACTTCCATGATTAAAAACTTGACATGTAACAGACAGTCTCACAGATCAAAAAACATAATGCCATACTGCTATCATAAGTGTGGTATAACATTAAGATTAAGCCTTACTTTATTTGGCCTTTTTAAAACTTTTTTAATTCAAGTGTCACTGATGCATCTCTTGTAGACAGACGAAAAGTGTGTTTGGCGTACAAAATTATACCTGGTATATTTTTTCACTTACCATATAAATAATATAACTCCTAAGCTCCAACAGTCTATAGCTTTTGTATACTGTCCACTTCCTGCTGTGATAAGAATTTCTGGAGCTAAATATGTAGGTGTTCCACAAAATGTCTTCATGATAGACCCTGCATCAACAAACTTTGATAAACCAAAATCTGTAACCTGTAATATATATAGGTATATCAATCTAAAATGACTACTGCAGAACAAAATCAATGTAAGATTCACTTCCATATTTTCATTTTTTTCTTCCAGCAGGTTTTATGAAATTAATTTCATATCTTTTTTTTATCAGTTTGTATCAATTTAGGATATTATATTTTTTTTCAAAATTTCATTTTAATACATTTTAACTGCTCATGATACTCAGATTGTAATGTTCATATAATGTTTATCTTACAGCCGTTATCCTAATGCTAGCAAGTTAAAGGTTTGGTTGGCTTGCTTGCTTTGCTTGTATTAAACTTTGCTCAAGCATTGTAATTAAGATTGACATCTGCAAACAATATAAGTAGGTGGTGTTAAACCTGTATATAGGTAAATTTGATTATTTGATAATGTCCAATCAAATTTAAATATAATGTATACAAGTTTAACTCTGCCTTTTTATATTGTTTTCATATGTCAATCTTAATTACAATGCTTCAGCAAACATTAATACAAACAAAGCAAGCAAGCCAAACCTTTAACTTGCTAGCATTAGGATAACAGCTGTAATAATAAGAATTTTTTAAAACAGTTAGAATAAAATATTCCATTTTCTTCTGACAGGGAATCCTGTGAAAAATATTTTGTGCGGACATTTGTCTCCTTGAAAATCGTACCACACCTTCTTGTTTTTATTTTGTGTGTTATTTAATATATATTTTCAGACTTGTGCTCATACAAATTACTGACAAGCTTTTTTTCAAAGGCACATAAAATTTTGTGGTTTAAATCAACCAATAAAATTCGTATTGTGGTTCACACAGCTTGTAGACAGACCCATCCTATATATTATGATTGTTTATGATCTGTCTTTATTATCATACATTGATCTAATGAAAAATAAAAGAAGAATGTGTCCCATACAGATGTCCCCACTTGTAAATACGCAATGTACAAATTCAAACCTATTGACATTTTGTTTTCTTTGAAACTTAATGACATCTGTTTCTGTATGTTGAGTGTGGAAATACCGTAGAAAGGCTTGTATAGTTCGCAGTGGTACATAGTCCGCACCCCCTTCTCCCCACGAAATTTTAGGTAAAAAAACTTTTTGTAACTGTTAGAAAAGGTCTAATGAAACTCCGGTAATTTCAAATCCTGTGCGGTCGTTTGCGGTATTTTCTTGGAAAAACTTGTTTTCCATCATCAAACAGAAGCTGAAACTGCTTGTTAATGATTCTAGAACGCTTCATGATTGTAAAAATAAGTTTAATTCACTTAAAAAACAATTTAGAAACTTGTGTATGTTTAAACAGGAAGTTTAAAAAGCACGTGTAAAAGAAGAAATTAACCGGTGAGAGTCGAAATCCGTACATAACAGATATCACTATAATACGACTTTGAAAGTAAAACAGTTCCATCCTTTTGTAAAACAGTCTTTAATATATCTATCACATTAATGTTTGAAGGGTCTTAAGCTAATACAAACCATATTAGTCAGTATGAAACACCAAAACGGAACGAACAATAACCGATTTCGTTTTGTAGTTTACAAATTCTAAGCTGGTTTACGGTTGTCTTTTTCACTATGTTTGTATCGTTTCAATCGAGCAGATACCAGTTTATTTCAACCAATGCATTGAAAAGAAACGAGAAATTTGTAATGAAAGGTTTAGTTTTTATATTTATCAGTATTAATTTGATATTGAATAGAAATAACTTATTAATATGGATGAGTTAAAATTATTAGTTTGAAAAATGATAAGAGCGCCCTCTACAATAGAAATAACAAAGATGGCGGAACGTAAACAAACCACCTCGACCGCGAAATTGAAATTTTTCTCTTATTTCTTGCTTATTGTACTCTATAGTCCGCACCCCGTCTGGAAGGTCCAATTTTGGAGAATAAAACCGCGGACTATACAAGCCTTTCTACGGTATCTTATTCACCAATTTTTCCAATTATAAAAGAGACATTACTCAAGAACAGTGAAAGTGGCAACATCCAAATTCGAACTTGATCTCTGTTTAATGATAATCTGCATTGTATATTATAAAGTTTAATAACATTTAGTTATAGCAAAGTAAAGTAAGAGAACAGAAACCAATTTCTAGCTTGCATTTCCTTTTATGATTTTCTTGATAGAGGTTTGCTGCTTACTAGCTTAAGGAAGCAAATGATTTAAGGGTTCCTACATGTCCTAGTTGTATATATAGTTGTAAAGTTGAAGTCATCGCTTTAAAAGTTAAACAGTCACCAACGTGATTTGGTTGACCATTATTGATATTCTGTGTTACAGAGGACACCCAAAATGTTCCAATATTGTTTCCACAACAAGCCTGTTCTTTTATCTTCTATTGTGACATCACCAAACTAGACTTGAAGCTGAGTTTGTAATTACCATGAGCAACACAATGGGTGCCTTATGTGGAGCAGCATCTGATAACCCTTCCAGAGCAAATAGGATCACCCCCAGTTTTTGGTGGGGTTAGTGTTGCTCAGTCTTTTGTTTTCTATGTTGTGTTTTCTATGTAGTGTTTTCTATGTGGTGTTTTCTATGTAGTGTTTTCTATGTGGTGTTTTCTAGATTGTTGTTATGAATTTTACCCGTCCCTTTGGTATATCCTGTCTCTTTTTCAGCCTGGTTGCACAGGAATATATGCAACTGAATATTAGGCAAACAACAAGCAATCTTTGTTTGATTTAATGATGTACTTAGGTCAGGTTTAGGAATTTTTGTCAGATGTTCGGACTCCTTGGTTTTTTTCCCCAAGATACAGGGTAAAATATTTTGCCCCATAACACCCATTTTTCTTTTCATATAAGTATAAGACTTCAATAGCTCATAAAAAGTCATTTACCAAAATTTAAGCAGATTCTAGATTTCTTTTCTTTCGATTTGAGACCCAAATAATACCAATGCAAATATAAGGTAAAAGTCTGAGTCACCTTTTTCCGCCATTTTTTAAAAATTAAATATCTCGAAAAGGAGCTCCATAACCTATCAATATTTTAAGCTTATTATGTTCCTCAACTAAGGCTCTTCTGACTTTTTGTATCAATTTTAAATTCTAGATTTTTTTAATTTCACCAAACTACATCCTTTACCAGTACAGTAATAGCTCTCTTTATCAGAGATCTAATAATAGTTTCAGTCTGACTTCTCTGATACTCACCTTGATCAATGTTTCATTTGCATCTGTCGCTAGTAATATGTTCTCTGGCTACAACAAAAGTAAAATATTACTTAAATACTATCACTGATGTGTGCATAGAGAACAGTTTTGTATAATGCCTATCTTAGATTAAATAGGAAATATATAATTTGTAAAAATTTCAAAAAGTCATGAACCACTGCATATTTTCATAGTGTTTAGCTGAATTTGAGACAACATCATTATAAATAAACTTAATGTTTTTTTGCATCTTTTTATCTATTTGTTTGTATTATGAATAATGGGAAGACAGAAGTCTTTAGGTCGATATATATGGTCTTGCATCATTTTCAGAACAATTTCTACTAAAATTGTGGATTACAAGTTTTCATTGAAATAAAACAACTGATGTGGTAGCTGTTGAGCAGACACAGTATAGCACTGGATAGTTAAGTGTACAAAAAGACAAACATGAAATACATGATGTATATGACACCAGAATAATGCATAAACAAACAAAGACCTCCTCATTCAAGACAGAAAACATGCATGCACGTTCATGTGCCAATCCAAAGTCAGGATCCTTGTCAGGGTTTATTTTTTTTAATTTCTTAATTTTTTTATGTTTTTTGCCATTAGGGCCATAAAAACATATATGGGACCCAGGGAAGGCAACTTAAATTTGCTACTACGGGTGGGTGTGAAATATTGTGTTGAACAGGTTTTAAATTATGCAGGACTCTAAAATCGCTTCTATGGGTGGTCACTCTGTTTTCAAAGTACCTTCCCTGGGTACCATGTATGTTTTAATGAAACAGCCCTTAGAGGAATTGGTTATGAGGACATATCTTTGTTGGTTATGAGGACATATCTTTGTTGGTTAATTATGAGGACATATCTTTGTTGGTTATGAGGACATATCTTTGTTGGTTATGAGGACACATCTTTGTTGGTTATGAGGACACATCTTTGTTGGTTATGAGGACATATCTTTGTTGGTTAATTATGAGGACATATCTTTGTTGGTTATGAGGACATATCTTTGTTGGTTATAGGACATATCTTTGTTGGTTATGAGGACATATCTTTGTTGGTTATGAGGACATATCTTTGTTTGGTTATGAGGACACATCTTTGTTGGTTATGAGGACATATCTTTGTTGGTTATGAGGACATATCTTTGTTAGTTAATTATGAGGACATATCTTTGTTGGTTAATTATGAGGACATATCTTTGATGGTCATGAGGACATATCTTTGTTGGTTATGAGGACACATCTTTGTTGGTTATGAGACATATCTTTGTTGGTTATGAGGACATATCTTTGTTGGTTATGAGGACACATCTTTGTTGGTTATGAGGACATATCTTTGTTGGTTATGAGGACATATCTTTGTTGGTTATGAGGACATATCTTTGTTGGTTAATTATGAGGACATATCTTTGTTGGTTATGAGGACATATCTTTGTTGGTTATGAGGACATATCTTTGTTGGTTATGAGGACACATCTTTGTTGGTTATGAGACACATCTTTGTTGGTTATGAGACATATCTTTGTTGGTTATGAGGACATATCTTTGTTGGTTATGAGGACATATCTTTGTTGGTTATGAGGACATATCTTTGTTTATTATGAGGACACATCTTTGTTGGTTATGAGGACATATCTTTGTTGGTTATGAGGACATATCTTTGTTGGTTATGAGGACACATCTTTGTTGGTTATGAGACACATCTTTGTTGGTTATGAGGACATATCTTTGATAGCCCCTGTTACTGTGGATTTCCTAGGTATAGGTGAACCACGAATGTCAATGTATAACCAAGTACAACAGACCTTGCCAAAACCACAAAATCAAAAAACTTCTAAAATACGAGCCTCTCCAATCCACAAAAATTGGTATCCACAAAATAAACGAATCCACAGTATATTGTTTTACAACTTACAAAAGCTTAACATTTTGTTTAAATACTAGTCTACTATTGAATATAAAAATAAGAAGATGTGGTATGATTGCCAATGAGACAGTTCTCCACCAGAGACAAAATGACATAGAAGTAAACAACTATAGGTTTCAATATGGCCTTCAACAATGAGCAAACCCATACCGCAGAGTCAGCTATAAAAGGCCTCGAAGATTGTATGTTGATAGGTCGATTCCTTTGTTTTTTCTCTTTGACAGTATACCAGAAATCTTGTATTAAGAAAGGCAAATGAAAACCAAACATTATCTATACATTTTTAAAGGACTGGTCGACTTGGTGTAGGAAGAAAATGTGGAAAAGTTATTCAAGTTCCCTTCTTTATATGCAAATTTCTCTTCTGCTTTCAATAAATGAATACCTTTAAATCTCTATGGGTTATTCCTTGATCATGTAGATACTGTAAAAATGAGAAAAAAGTATTTTATAAATAATCTAAACATTCAATTATTTACCAATACATAAATCTTTTATAAATCTGTGTCATAAACATTAGTTTTGTTTGCTTTAAAACTGATCTTTTAGGGGAAAGGAGCAAATTGACAATAAATATGTATAACATGAAATTTAAAATTCATTCATGGAAAAAGTTTAATGTCCTTCAATTTGTCTGTCAGATATCCTCATCAATATCTGTATACTTTGTCTCATAATTCTGCTTCGGCATGTTTATAGGTTATCAAACTTTTTGCATTTAATGATAAATTTCTAAAACTGCTAAAATAGTGTCATTTGTATTGAGATATTAACCACAATCTTACCAATAAACATATTTTGCTACAAAATATTGTATATAAAGATGTTGATATGAGTCAAATATGTTTGTGGGTAAGGTTGTGGCTCAAATTGTATTTTCCAAAACTATAAGTAATTTGAAAATTCTATGCTAAATATGTGAACTTCTACATGTTTATGACATCACAAATGACATTTCTGCACTAAAGGTTATACCATCCTATTCTGTTCTATATATTTACATAACTATCATAATTTTTAAAGGATAAAAGAATTATACCACATTTCCAATTTCAAGGACCAGATAATGGTTCATATATACTTCCTTTGCAAAATCAAATTTTGAATCAACAAATTTATTTTATTGAATGTATTCATTTTTGATAGTTTAAACATCAATGAATTTATAATTATTTGAGTAAAATAGAAACACTTAATCCAGACTGTTTGATGAACACATGCACAAAACAGCCTTGATTAATTTTTCATGAAGGGGCCTTTTATAGCTGACTATACAGTATGGGTTTTTCTCATTGTTAAAGGCCATACAGTAACCTATAATTGCTTTTATCTTCATTATTTGAACTCTAATGGATAATTGTCTCTTTAGCAATCATACCACATCTAGAAAATTGACAAAGAAGGTTGGTTGAAAACGAAACTTTACGACAAAAGAGATGATTTCAGCTTCCCAATTGTGTGAACTTTCCATTTCCTACCGAATAAGATATATCGCCGGATTTGTAATTGCATGAACAAAACGACAGGTGCCACATGTGGATCAGGCTCAGCTTACCCTTCAGGAGCACCTAAGTTCATCCCAGGTTTTTGGTGGGGTTCGTGTTGCTCAGTCTTTAGTCTTCAATGTTGTGTTTTATGTACTGTTGTTTGTCTGTTTATCCCTTTTTTTTGCCATGGCGTTGTCAGTTTATTTTCGACTTATGAGCTTGAATGTCCCTTTGGTATCTTTCGCCTCTCTCTTATTAATTTTATAATGTAAGGTATTTTGTAATTATCTACTCTGTGGTGAAAATTGTTTAATGAGACTCTTGTGCTGCATAATAACTGTATTTCTCTTTTCAATGGCAAGTTTTTGCTAAATCTAATTTCCATTAAGATGTCCCTTTAATTACATTACATAAGATTGAAATACTAAACAAATAACTCACCTTTACAGCACAAATAATCTGATAAAATAATAATTTAGCCGTAGGTTCATCATACTGTCCTATACTAACAACTTTATCAAATAATTCACCACCTTCTACTCTGTAAGAGAAAACAGAATAAATATATACTATAAAATAACTTCTAATGAATAATCAATATACAAAAGACATTCAGACGTGAATAATAGGAATATCAATATACTAGTAAAGATCCTTTTCTCTATTCATTATTTTTGTCCACTTCTACTAATGCTGCGTTCACACGTAATTCGAATTCGATTCGCATTAACTGATTCGAATTAGTTTAATTCGCATTCGAATCGTTTTACGTCCAAACGTTAATTCTAATTCGAATTGCAATACGCGTCAAATTTGCTTTACTGTCCGAACGACGTTAACTTTTAATTCGTATCAACAAAAACGGATTTCTAATGCGATTTGGTTAATGCGAATTAGCCAATTCGAATCAATTCGAATTAAAAAGGAAGAGTGTGTGAACGCAATTAGCGAATTCGATTCTCATTCGATTTGAATTCAATTCGAATTAAATGTACGTGTGAACTAGGCATAATACTAATAAACTGATAAAACTACATCAAGTATACATTCATAATGCATGATCTTCATTCTAAACTTAGAAAGAATGATGTATTTACCTTTATCTAATTCTTTGGCAATTTAACCCTTTCCAGACCCATTGTATAATAAATCTAATTAACGTGTGGTTGCTGATGATGTCAAAAGATGATTGGGTGAGTTTAAGGGTCATAACATTTATCAGCTCACTTGATTAATCAAACTGTGCTAACATGTGTTAATGAAATTGACAACTTTGTGGAATGTGGAAGGCACTCGAAGGGGATTTTCGTTTTTTTCATTTGAAAATTTATTTGATAATCATTAGTGAAACAGATTCTTACATAGTTACTTGTGGATTATCAGATTTATCCAATCTCGATAGTTAAATTATCAATTTTAAAATAAATTTGATAATCCACTGGTACCAATGTAAGAATCTATATGTCTTTTAGAGTGGAAATAAGCTTGAAGTTTATTGCACTCTGACACAAGCATGTCGGAGAAAATAGTATTGTACATTGTACGGTAAAACTTTAGAAATGACAAGAACACTTCGGGTATCTGCTGTTTGGTCATCATTATAGAGAGATGCTCCTACATTGTGTACTTCTTACGTAACATGAGTTGAATAGAAGCAGCAAATACACAAAATGACTTAACTCAGCTTACTAAATGGAAATTAGCCATTCAAGGAATTTTAGGAACAAAGACATGACTATCTATAATATAAGATTGGTATGATTTTTAATAATATATAATATATATGTGTAAATTTATTAAGAATTTTGAAATATACATACAATTCTAAAACTATATATAATACATCTGGCAGGTCTATTACATCTTCTATACCAATTATACATGGCTGAAAATCACATATCAATAATAAATGTATTTTTAATATTCAAATTTTACAAAATGTTTTGAAAAATTTGTTTGAATATTGAGCAAACAAACAATGTCCAAACAAAAGTTGTTATAAATTTGAAACAAAAATTAGACCCTAAGTAAATTGATGTATGCATCTTATGCACTAAATATCTAAACTTGCACCTCAATATTCTGCAAACCACATAGAGCTTTTAACTGCATTGTAAATATGTCAAATACAAAAGACAACTTGGGTTCAGATAATATGCTTTAATACATTTATAAGGGACTCCCATGGCGATACATATATTTAGCATCAGACGACATTAAGCAGTTATCAATCAACCTAAAACAGAAAATGTCAACAAAATAGCAATTTCTTACAACAGAAATTCATCTACAGTTTACCATGATTTTTACAACAAAAGGTTTAAGACTCTTAATGAAAAAAACTTGTGTCATTGGATCACTGTCTCGTTGATGTTTAACCAACATCTTCTAAATAAAAATTGTGAAGATTTTTGATTTGCTAGCATAAATTGATTGATTGTTATTTGCAGGTATTAAATGTTTCAATATTCTTAGTACTTACATGTCGTAATGCTTTCAGTATTTTCACCTCTGTCATAACTTGATTACTCAGATTCTATAACAAAATATATGATCCTGTTAATGTTGTTTCATAATTTTTTCAATGACATATTATTTCATGGGCTTTTAAAGTATAGTGATGAAATTTTGAGAGATCAAAAGAAAAAAAAAACCAAGCAACCTTAGAAAATCATTTTTTTAGCAAGATCAAACATTTCGCTTTGATATAATTTGCTTATATGACATGTATGAGTAAATCTGCCAATAAGCAAAAAGATAGTTTTTACTGTGGTATAACAATGTTTGAAGGCTTTTACAACAGGCTGTCAAAATGACAGCAAAAAGGCTTAAACCTATCAAGGGTCATCACCGAACAAAAAAAATGAAAATCGTAAAGATCAAACTTGACATATTAAAATTTGAAAACCATTGCATGGTTCCTAAATCAACATTATAATATTTTGTCCCAAAACAAACTTCATTGTTGAAAGCCGTACGTTTACCTATAATTGCTTACATTCACTTTATTTGAACTTTGGTGGATAGTTGTCTCATTGGCAATCATACCTCGTCTCCTTATTTTTATGTTCAGTTGTTCTTAGGCATTTATTTAGAAAATAAATATACTTTTATGAACAAAGAACTTTGCAATGGCAAAGGTTGCATACATATAAAAATTTATAAGTACTACCTTTTGAATGGAACCAAACATTACATACACATGTTAAAAGGTCTGGTAAGAGCCAACTTGATTAATTGAATGATGTGCTAGGACAAAAAACTTTTTGACAAATATTAAGCATACAATTCTTTTAAAACTGTATGCATGGGCAGATGTAAACCATTAAATGCTTCTTTACAGAAGAATAACTATAAGTTCAAGGGAACCAGGATTATTCTGTAGTGATAAGGCTCAATTGTATTTAATTTCCGTAAATGAACTTACAACTTGGTGTTTGCCACCTATGGAAAATTTTTTCTTTGATATAATTTTTACTGCAAACTTTTCACATGTTCCCTTTTTAAATGCTAACTTGACTTCTCCACATGCACCCCTGTAAAAAAATCATAGAAACATTCAATTAATGAAGAATAAACCTACAACCAGCATTAAAATATGTTGTCTGTTTTATACATACATTTATACATCAAATTATTACTTTAAAATTCAACAATGAAAAACCCTAACATTAGATTGTACTAACCATTGCTAACATTACTAAAGAGTTATCAATTTGTGTGTTTTAAATGTGTTTTGTTATTTGGAGAACTTCAGGTGGATAGTAAATCTTTGATAGTTTTGGCTTAATTTTTTAATTACTTCAAACTTTAAACAATTGATTGCTGAACATTTTCTATTAACACCTATTTATTGTTGCAGACGATTGTATGTTCACCTCTAGATATTTTTTGGCGGTTTTTCATCTCATCACAAATATTGGCTAAGACTACTTAAGAAGGCCACGGATTTTATATGTAAAAAAAGATATGCCTCCCTTCCAGAGCATCTGTACAACGTATTGGTTTTTATAGCATTTTGCGTTGCTCAATCTGTGATTTTGATTGAAGGCGGTCATAACATTTGTCTTTGTGAACATCTGCTAGTCTTAACAGCCTTTCAAAGCCAACTATGCGGTATGGGTTTTTCATTATTGAAGGTAGTACGATGACCTATAATTGCTTATATCCACTTCATTCGCATATAGATAGTTATCAATCATACAACATCTCCTTATTTTTGTATTAACCTTTGTCTTTAATTGTGTGTATGGGATGTCTTTGTTTATCATTTTCTTTACATAACAGGCCTACTTTACTAATCCTCTCATCTTTTAATACATACCTGCCTAGTGTTTTTGTTAATGTATATTTTTCTTTAATTTGATCAGGAAGTCCGGCTTCTTCATCTATACTCAGATCAAGATACATGAATGCTAAAATAGAACAAATAAAATACTACAACAATGTTTGTTACGTTAAATATATAACAGCAGAATTTATATAATAATTCATACCATTTACTGTAATCTTTAATTTTATCATCATTATTAAAAGATAAACCAGGTCTACTTTCTGAAATATAACAAAGTTTCCAACAAAATATCCTCTGTATTCTGAGGTCCATATACAGTATCAATTGTATACTAGAGCATTTCTATCAACATTAACAGGAATACTATGTATTCAATACAAAATGGATGTGACAATAAATGGGGAATGTGTCCATGGGACATAGATGATGCCCCCGCTTTCTTATAACTTTATAAAGGGACATAATTCAAGAACAGTGATAGTGACACTACCCAAATTCAAACTTGATCTGAGTTTTGTGGTAATAAGCATTGTGTATAAGTTTCATAACATTTGGTTGAGACAAACTTAAGCTAGAGAACGGAAACAAAAAATTCAGCAATTTTTCCATTTGTAAAGGGGCATAACTCTAGAATGGTAAACGTGACGCAACCGAAATCCATACTTGATCTGTGTTTTGTGGTAATAAGCATTGTGTATAAATTTCATAACATTTGGTTGAGGCAAACTAAAGTTAGAGAACGGAAACGAAAAATTTCAGCAATTTTTCCATTTGTAAAGGAGCATAACTCTAGAACAGTAAAAGTGACGCTACCAAAATTCAATCTTGATCTGTGTTTTACAGTAATTAGCATTGTGTTTAAGTTTCATAACATTTAGTTGAGGCAAACTAAAGTTAGAGAATGGAAACCAATTTCGGGACGTACAGATGGACTTACAAGACGGACAAGGGTAAAACTTAATGCCCCCTCCACTATAAATAAAATTGGAAATTTATATATCTTAAATCACAATTTTTTAAGTTTTTTTTATGGACAAATTATGTCTGTTCAGTACATTGATTCTATATTGGTAAAAGAGGTGATAAAAAGTAAATTGACCCTAGGTACATGTGTATACCTTTATTGTTTTTCAATGCCAATGCTATTTCATCATTGTTGGATAAAACCTGCTTGTTCCCTTTACCTGAAATTAAATAGATAACATTTGAAAGATTGTGAAATTTTCTAAATACTAATCAATATGTATGCTTGCAGTAAGGTAAACAACCACTCTGAAATATGATATGTACAGCTTATCTAAAAATTGAAATAAGAACATAATACATACAATCAGGGGTAATACTTATACAAGTCATGTTTATTTACTTGAAGATGTAATATTAACTTGTATAAGCAAATTTGTAAGATTTTAATTTTCTTTTCATGCTTTGAATAATCTCCCCTTAATCTTCTCCAAAAAAATTACTTATACAAGTGATTTAATCTTAAATTTTAAGTTTTGGGTTGTCAAAAGATGATGGACTAAGGACCCCAAGTAATGAGAAAAGCTCACTTGGCCTTTTAGGCCAGGTAAGCTAAAAAAAAATGCTTCTATGATAATCAGTCATCAATGATGAAGACATACTTTGAAAAGAAATGCAAAGTTATTTCAAAATAAAATGCTCCGCTGGGTGCAGCTTGATACGACCGCAGAGGTCGAACCCTGCTTGATACAGCACTGAATTTGGATTGTGATTAAATATTTGACACAGCATAGGTTTCTGACACAGAATGAATGTGGTCTAACTTAAATTTTTTTAATTTACCTATTCAAACCATATCATTATTATTTGCTTTTATATATAAATCAGAAATAACCAATTTAAAATGGAAAATTTTAAAGAAAAAAAATGAAAAAAAAAATCCCCCCTCAAATTTTTTGAACCCCCTTATGATTCATCACCCCAAACTCAATCCCAGCCTTCCCTTTGTGTTACAATGTATGGTGCCTTGCAGTACAATTTCAGAGAGATCCCTACACTTGAACACAAGTTATTGTCTGGAAACTAGAAAAATGCTTGTTTTTTTGCCCCTTTTTGGCCCCAAATTCCTAAACGTTTAGGGCAATTACCCCCAAAATCAAACCCAGCTTTCCCTTTGTGATATGGAACCTTGTTGTACAATTTCAGAAAGATCCATACACTTACACACAAATTATTGTCCTGAAACTAGAAAAATGCTTGTTTTTTTGCCCCTTTTTTGCCCCTTATTCCTAAAATTTTGAGGCAATTACCCCCAAAATCAATCCCAGGATTCCCTTTGTGGTATGGTACCTTGCAGTACAATTTCAGAGAGATCCATAAATTTGAACACAAGTTATTGTCTGGAAACTAGAAAAATGCTTATTTTTGGCCCCTTATTCCTAAACGTTTTGAGCAATTACCCCCAAACTCAATTCCAGCTTTCCCTTTGTGATATGGAACCTTGTAGTACAATTTCAGAAAGATCCATACACTTACACACAAGTTATTGTCCTGAAACTAGAAAAATGCTTGTTGTTTTTTGCCCCTTTTTTGCCCCTAATTCCTAATATTTTGAGGCAATTACCCCCAAAATCAATCCCAGCCTTTCCTTTAGTGGTATGGTACCTTGCAGTACAATTTCAGAGAGATTCATACACTTGAACACAAGTTATTGTCTGGAAACTAGAAAAATGCTTATTTTTGGCCCCCTTTTGGCCCCTTATTCCTAAACGTTTTGGGCAATTACCCCCAAACTCAATTCCAGCTTTCCCTTTGTGATATGGAACCTTGTAGTACAATTTCAGAAAGATCCATACACTTACACACAAGTTATTGTCATGAAACTAGAAAAATGCTTGTTTTTGGCCCCCTTTTGGGCCCCTAATTCCTAAAATTTTGAGGCAATTACCCCAAAATCAATCCCAACATTCCTTTTGTGATATGGAACCTTATGGTACAATGTCAGAGATCCATACACTAACACACAAGTTATGTCTGGAAGTTACAAATATGCTTATTTTTGGCCCCTAATTCCTTAACTGTTGGTACCATAACCCCCAAAATCAATCCCAACCTTCCTTTTGTGGTATTGAACCTTGTGATAAAATTTCATAGAGATCCATTCACTTAAACTAAAGTTAGAGTGCGAAAACCAATGTGTCTTCGGACAACGACGACGACGCCGCCAACGTCATACCAATATACGATCACAAAATTATTTTTGCGGTCGTGTAAAAATTGCTTTGAATTCTTTTTTGCAAAAATATGTTGCTGAACTTGGATTTTTTTTTTAAATAAATGAACTATAACAAACCAAACCTTACAACTTTCAGGTTAATACCCAGCAACGTAGAACATATATTTGTTTTTGCCTTTTTTGCCTTATAAAATATGAGGCCATTGGGTGTGTTAAATGTCTTACCAACTTTTTCTCCATTCACAAAAGTACCGTTACTGCTTGAATCTTCCAAGAACACATGAACACCAGTACTGGTATTTTTCTACAATGTATATAAATAAATCAACAACTTAAACACAGTACAAACAAGAGGTACATAAAATCATAATTAATCCAAGAATTTTGTACTGTTTGACATTTTAAATAAACAAATTTTAACTAAAAAAAATAACTTCTTACAATGTCTTATGGTATTCAAAATGATCGTAATGACAAAAATAGTGTTTCCTGCAGGAGGACTTGGCATGGTATGGTGTCCTGTCGTGTTTTCTTGACGCCCTGCCCTTTTTAGGAAAAAAAATTGGCGCCATGCCCCTTTTCTGTCGTATTTTAAAATGCCCCGCTGTATTTTAATATCGGTTCTGCAATTCATCTTTTAGCAAGACCATTTCGAGTTATTTCCCTTGAAAGGAAATAAAATTTTTAATGGTCGACATTTTATTGAATTTCGTAATTCTGTTTGAACAGTTTTGAAGCGACATAGTACAAATACGATTCATGATTGAATCTAATAAGGACAATATTGATTTGTACCTCTACGAATTTAAAATGAAGACAATTTAAAAGGGAACCAGGCGATAATTTGAGTTATAATTTTACGTTGCATGGGATGAACATTACCACTGATTACGTAAACAATATGATGTTTGTTTATATTTTATATTTATACTATTCGGTTGGTTGAGACGTCATATTGGGTGTAAATTTACCATGGCTTTCATACTGTTGTTATCTTAATAAAATTAAAGTTAAGAATGTAGCTGATATAGTTTTGAATAGTACAAAAAACCAACAACGTTTCAATAAAAAAAATAACACAAAAAAGCACAGATGGAAAAAAAGAATATGTATAGTAAGTCTTGCTATACAAATCTTTGAATATCCTAAAACTACTTATGAGCTAAGGTAGCTTTGACTGGTATAAACATGTGAGATCCAAAATGTATTTGGCACTTCCTTTGTGCATCTAAAAAGCAATGCATTGCATATGCTCTTGGTCATACAAAGTCCACTTTCAAAACACATCCTTAGACAGCCAGTCTCAGTGATCCAGTATTAAAGTTTATAATTGGAGTTATTGATTGAAATGAGGCAGTTGCACAATGAACATGATCAAGATTCTATTAGCTGAGTCTAGAAGTGATAATTTTATTACAAAAAGGAATTAAATTAACAACCTTTTATACATATCTTTATTTCTTACCAATAAATATGAAACAATGGTATATTCGATTAAATCCCTATCCATTACAGTGCTTCATATCTATGTAAAGAGTGCCCTAAATGTGTAGTCCTCTGCGCAAAGGGTGCCCTCCAAGTGTAGCCAAACACTCTAAGAGTGCCCTCTGAGAAAAAATTACCCTGCCCTTTTCAAAATCTGCAGGACACACTACAAGAACCATATTTATTTTCTTTGTTTTGATTTTGGCACTAGACATTTGGACTGGTGAATGACCAATATTTACCAAAATCTCAATCAGTTTAAAATGTGCTTTACAATAGGCCCAGAAACACTGGCGTTCTTCTTTATCCAAATCAGTGTAAAATATACTTTACTTTAGGGTTGGAAACATTGTTTTTATCCAAATCAGTTTAAAATGTACCTCTCTAGTTTTTGTCTCTTTGACACATTCCCCGTTTCCATTCTCAATTTTAATTACTTTAGATCTGGAAACACTGGTGTATTTTTTTTATCTGAACCAGTTTAAAATGTACTTTAATTTCGGCCTAGAAACACTGGTGTTTCTTACTTGAATCTGTTTAAAATGTACAATACTATAGGACTGGAAACACTGGTGTTTTTTTCATCTGAATCAGTTTAAAATGTACTTTACTTTAGGCCTGGAAACATAGGTGTTTCTTATCCTAATCAGTCATGTTAGTTTAAAATGTAGTTTCTTATAGGCCTGGAAACATTGGTGTTTCTTACATGTCTTACCCGAATCACTTTAAAATGCACTTTACTTTAGGCCTGGAAACATTGGTGTTTCTTACATGTCTTACCCGAATCACTTTAAAATGCACTTTACTTTAGGCTTGGAATATTGGTGTTTCTTACATGTCTTACCCGAATCACTTTAAAATGCACTTTACTTTAGGCCTGGAAACATTGGTGTTTCTTACATGTCTTACCCGAATCACTTTAAAATGCACTTTACTTTAGGCTTGGAATATTGGTGTTTCTTACACGAATCAGTTTAAAATGTTAGGCCATTATTTCTCACCCAAATCAGTTTGAAATGTACTTTACTATAGGCCTGGAAACATTGGTGTTTCTTACCCGAATCAGTTTAAAATGTACTTTACTATAGGCCTAGAAACATTAAAGTTTCTTACCCTAATCAGTTTAAAATGTACTTTACTATAGGCCTGGAAACATTGGTGTTTCTTACCCGAATCAGTTTAAAATGAACTTTACTGTAGGCCTGGAAACACTGGTGTTTCTTAGCAGTTGCTGTGTTAAATGGAATATCACAGTTCTCTCCACGTCCAAAGCAGTATTCCTCTTTTGTTAAATCTGAAAAATAGACAAAATTACAATTTTTTTCTATTTGGACTAATCAAATTGGAAAAAGTGGTACAAACAAGTCTGACAAGAGATCATTACTAGACCATAATGATGAATTAAACCAGACTTAAAATAAATGGAGAATGTGTCCCCATGGACACAGATGATGCCGCCGCTTGCATACAACATTATAAAGGGACATAACTCTAAAACAATAAAAGTGACGCTACCCAAATTCGTACTTGATCTGAGTTTTGTGGTAATAAGTATTGTGTATAGGTTTCATAATGTTTGGTTCGGGCAAACTTAAGTTACAGAACGGAACTAAAAATTTTGCAATTTTTGATTTATAAAGTGGCATAACTCGATAATGTGACGCCACCAAAATTCAACTTGATCTGTGTTTTGTGGTAATGAGCATTGTGTATAAGTTTCATAGCATTTGGTTGAGGCAACTTAAGTTAGAGAACGGAAACTAAATATTTTGCATTTTTTTTCCATTTATAAAGGGGCATAACTCAAAATGGTTAAAGTGACACCACCAAAATTCAAACTTGATCTGTATTTTGTGGTAATAAGCATTGTGTATAAGTTTCATAACATTTGGTTGAGGCAAACTTAAGTTAGAGAACGGAAACTAAAAATTTTGCAATTTTTCAATTTATAAAGGGGCATAACTCTAGAACAGTTAAAGGGGCGCCACCAAAATTAAAACTTGATCCGTGTTTTGTCGTAATAAGCATTGTGTATAAGTTTCATAACATTTGGTAGAGGCAAACTTAAGTTATAGAACGGAAACTAAAAAATTTGTAATTTTTTAATTTATAAAGGGGCATAACTCTAGAACGGTTAGAGTGACGCTACCAAATTCAAACTTGATCTGTATTTTGTGATTATAAGCATTGTGTATAAGTTTCATAACATTTGGTTGAGGCAAACTTAAGTTAGAGAACGGAAACTAAAAATTTTGCAATTTTTCAATTTATAAAGGGGCATAACTCTAGAACAGTTAAAGTGGCGCCACCAAAATTAAAACTTGATCCGTGTTTTGTCGTAATAAGCATTGTGTATAAGTTTCATAACATTTGGTTGAGGCAAACTTAAGTTAGAGAACGGAAACTAAAAATTTTGCCATTTTTCCATTAATAAAGGGGCATAACTCTAGAATGGTTAAAGTGATGCCACCAAAATTCAAACTTGAGCTGTGTTTTGTGGTAATAAGCATTGTGCATAAGTTTCATAACATTTGATTGAGGCAAACTCAAGTTAGAGAACGGAAACCAATTTTGGGACGTACGTACGTACGTACAGACGGACAAGGGTAAAACTTAATGCCCCCTCTCCGCTACCGCTGGGGAATAAAAATCAAAACTCTCTAGAAAACCACTTTTTCTAGTGGTCACTATAACAAGTTTAATTTAGTAGATTTATGAAGGAATTTGTGCACCTAGATCTCTAAAATGGCGACAAAAGGGAAGAAATTCTTACTCAAATTGCTTCAATCGAAATCTATCAATATACATGATATAGAATTATAAGAGAAAAGTTAAAAAAATATTTATTATCCTCTGAAAAGAACTCAATGTTTTTTCTGTATCAAACGTATATATTTAGTCATAATACATGTAATATGGAGACAATTCCCCAATAACATGAATAACAGTCAGAAAATCAATAAACTTAAAATCGGGTGTACACAACAATTTCCCAAGAACTCCAAAAAATATCAATATTAACCCGAGAACCGAAAATTCTATTTTATATGATGTAATACTGCTTTCATTGATAATAAAGACGATTAATTTGAGATATATGTCATTTTTACTTAATAAAAGTTCAACTGAATTTCAGGAACTTGATTTGTGTGTCTTAAGCTTGTATGCAAGTTCCTTGTAAAACAATATATCAGACATAATTATTCAAAAGGTAGATAACTCTATCTATTTTTTAAAATAGTACTGAAAGATTTGTTTCTTTAACAATTGGAATTTGAAGAGTAAATACATTATTTGGAAAACTTGAATTTAAAAAAATGATTAAAAGTGCTTTTTATGCTTTGATTTAGAAAGAATTATCTACCTTTAGAAATATGAAATATTATGTTCCCAAGGGACCTAAATACAAGACATACACATCGATTCCATGAAGTTCAATTGTATATTTATTTAGTAAAAATGACATACATCTCAAAATTTTAGACTTTATTATCATGATTATGTATAAAAGCAGTACTTTTTTAATTTGAATAATTCTTTATTATGAAAAAAAACCTCACTGTTACCTGAACATTCAGGGGACTTACTTAAATGAATGATTTCTAAATCACTGATTCAAGTAACATTTTGTCCACAAATGTTGGAAGTAAGAGTTGTCTTTCTTTAATAATCACCTATTTAAGTACAATGTAGTACAAATAAATCACTAGACTAAGTGTCTAATTTTATTGTAGCTTTAAATATACAATACTAATGATCCAGGGACTAATTATGTTGCTAAAATTATCAGAACCCACATCTGTGTTGATAGGATGAACGGTCATGTCAGGTGATGACCTTGTACTGAATCTGGGATAATGACATGAAAATCACTTGTTTAAGTATCATACCTCTATTTTCTTCCAAAAAATCACTTCTTTAAGTATTATTACTTTAATTACCCCCACTAATTTCAACACCCCCGAACAGTGAAATTTTGATCGTGAACAGTAACATTTTATTACATAATCTGTAAGATGAAACCTTGAATTTTACAGGAAAAATACTCCCACTGCTGGGAAAAATCTGTGAAGAAAGTATCAGTTCATTATGTAAAGCCTTCATTACAGCATTTTTTCAACAAATATAGAATTTACAGCTAAATGATTGCATCAAAAGCATAAACCTTGCTATTTAAAAGAAGCAAAAGGTTCTTTTTTTCAATTTTACTAATTATAAGATATAATCTAAACCTATATGTTTAAAATTTTGGTAAAACTACAAAATCACAATTTGTGACAAAATTTCCAATTTGCTACTTAAATTTATATATAAGTGATTTTATAAATCACTTATTTCAGTAATTTCCCTGACTGCTGAAGCAGATATAGCATGCATTTGAGATGATAGTGTTTTTTGTTTACATTGAAAATGATGTTATAAATAAAATTCATAACAACAGAACCGATATCGAATAGGTTTCTGTATTTCAGTGACTTATTTAGCAATTTGTTAAAGAGGTATTTATTATCAAGTTTTCTGTCATTAAGACAATGATGAAGGGTATCTCAAAAGTTACCATGGTTATGGATGGTTTTTAAATTATAGTGATTTTTTTTATATGTCTAAATGTCATACTGTAAATTCAGAAATTATTGCGAGGTTTTTATTAATGCGAATAATGCGACTGGGTGAGTATCGCAATAATAAGAACTCGCATTTTGATATCTGATACATATATCTGTATGCAGATTTTCCTTAAATCGCAATAATTAATCTCGCATTTTTGTCCATTTTTAAAAAATCGCAATAATAAATGCACGCAATAATTTCTGAATTTACAGTAATTGTAAAATTAAAAAAAACAATCTTGATGACCTTAGTACATTTTTCCAGAGTTTTAAATAATTATACCAAAAAGTTCGGTATTGAAAGAATAACTTTAATACTTCTTCCTCTTTCACAAGTTACACCTGCCTCATATTACTATGATACTACATGTCTTTCTTTATACTATTCTTGTAAAATCATATTTAGTGTTCCCGCCTGCCCTAAATAGAAGGGTGACCCGCTCTTGGTGCCCTTACCCCCGCCCTTCTGCCCTCCAAAGTGAAAGAATGCACCCCTCTGCCTTTTCAAAAAATAAAATTTCCAAATTTCATGACTACCGGGGTTTCCGGTAAAATTGTTACCTGATTGTGTAACACTAATTAACTGACAATGGGATTAAGTTAAATACCTAATGCTTTGGCAGTTTTATCACCTTTGTTAATGATTGTTTACTGCTAATTAGTGGATTTAAGATAACTGAACAAATACTAGATATTTAATACAGAATGAAATGTCCACATGTTATCCATTTGTAATGTTTATGTACAGCATGTACACCTGAAAAAAATTATTTAAGTAGGCATAACATAAAAAATAAAATAATAAACAATTTTAAAGGCATACATAGTTTTGACTCAATTGGTAAAAAATGTTTTGTTTCATAATCATGAGTTTGAAATTTAAAGAAGAATCAAAGAAATTTGTACTTTGAACATAACAAGATTCACTTCCTGTTTTACTTCTTGTATTTTATAATCCTCCTGACATAGGAGCACTCAACAAATTTATTTTTAACAATGATGGAGAAAAAAGTAACTGTTTATACCTTCTGCAATATATTATTGCATCAATATAATATAATCATCTCCTGTCTCACCTGTTATATTTATAAAAATCCTTACTGAGGAGCACTTTGGTGTGCACTTAAAAATACTTTTTTGTAACAATTCAAATGATAATAAATAACTCTCAATAACATATATACTATATATGTTTGAACAAGTAATTTAAATGTCAATTAAAATGTAGATAATTTAATTACATTAAACATTCAATTTTGCATGTATTACTCCATCTTTCAAAACTACTTGTTTATTTTTATAGACTGGTATAAGTTATAAAACATTGAAATTTCTGATGATTATTTTCCTTACCAAACAGTCAAGGGTCTAACTTAAATAAGTTATTAGAGAAAAATAACATACATTTGTTATTAAGGGCTAAAAAATCAAAAATCTGTAATAACATATGTATTTTACATGTTTCAAAGGGGCATTATACATCCTTAATTTTGTTAAATTGTGTACTAGTTCTATTGATATTATAATTGTCTTTATGTATATTAAACTTTAGAAAGATATAACAGCCCATAGTTTGCCAATCATGCATAACACACCCATGTTATCACAGAAAAAATATGCCTGTAATAACTAAAGGGTGTTATTACAGCTTCTCTACATCTCTTCAAAGCCTTTTCTCCTACATATATCACAATGTATTTTAATTTATTGTAATAAATAATGATAAGAGCATGTAATGAGGTTCTGCGCAAGCTTCCTAGTCATTCCCAAGTGTCTCATGTAATAAGTTAAATGCCTGTAATAACTAAGCCTTGTTATTACAGCTAAGTTATCACTTAAAAGCCTTGTCTCATTGATTTACCATGGCTGATCAAAAATGTATTAATTGAATTGGAAAATTAGTTTTCAAAGTTATGTATTAAGGTACTGCGCAAGTTTCAAGAATTCCCAAGTGCCCACTGAAAATAAAAAAAATTATGGTACATTTAACTGATAACAAACATATGTTACTACAGATTAAGAGAAAGTATCCGTAATAACACATGTATGTTATTTTTCTCTAATAACTTATTCAAGTTACACCCTTGACCAAATGTACAAGTTTGTTTAGATTAACATCAAAATGATATGCTTTGCTTCATGGTATGATCATTTGATAAAAAAAAATTCTTACTGGACCAGGAACCAACATCAAGAACACATTAATTTCTGAATATGGTTTAAATACAACTAATGTTCTCCAGCTGAGCCTAGCAATATTCAAGGTAATTTTTACACTGTCCAACAATGCCCTTAAAATCTGGGTTATAACGCTAAAGTGCCCTTTCAGACAACTAGCACCCTTCTACTCTGAGATTCAAGCTGGAACATTGATATTGCCCATTTCTGGGTGAATAATTGCCAAGCACAGGCACTGGGTTTTCCCACCCCGAGGCAACCCTTTGTCAACCAAAAGCCAATGATTTTGCACCATCCTTTTTCATTCCAGTACAACCCCTGAATACACTATGTCACTGACTTGCTCTTTGAACTAACTTTTAACTAATCTGTTAAGCAAAAAGAGGTGCTTGTTTGGGGACAATTAGCTAAATGGTTTGTTTAATCAGCCATTACAAAATGCATTAGGGTTAATGCTGGCAGTTATAATGTGTAAAAACCAAGCATTTAAGATAACTTGGAATCATTTTAAGAGATGTAAACACAATCATTTTTGTCCATTTCTTATAATGAACCATATACCAAAGTAAACTAAAAAAAAACATGACTGTACGATAATTTTGTATGCATGTTTTTACCGACTGCAACAAAACTTGATCCAAGAGGAAACATTCTTCCCCACACTTCCTCTGTGTCTTCATTTTCTTCGCTGTCAGGTCCATCAATGAAATCTGAAGGGACTGTTTGCATATCCATCGTCTTAAAATTTTCTGTTTACAGTAAGCACAAGCAGGCCGGCAACACACATGCGCATTATCTGAATCATTAGAGTGCTTTAAGAAGAAAAATAATATAATATAAGAGTCGTATATCGAGTCAATTGAATTCTGGATTTTTTATTTTTTTTAAAAGAAATTTAAAATCAAACAATTTATGAAAAAGAAAATGTCCCCACATATGATGAATTGCCAAAGCCTTAAAATTTTCCTTTAAAAAGAAGTTTTAGAAGAAGAAGACCTTTAACATGTTTAAGCAGCAGTTATGATTTATTTTTACACACAATTATTGGGCTCAAACTACTCTTTTAAATATGAATATTGCGGATACTCCAATATCAGATTTCGAAAATAATACCAAAAAAAGAAATAATAAATTAAATCACGAATTTTTGGGATTAGATTTGGTATAAACTTTAAGTACTCGCAAAGCATTTTTTTTATTCGTACCGGCCGATAAAGCTAAGCAGCCATGTGGTATATGTATGCAAGGATTTGTATACTATACAAATCCTTGATGTATGCTATAAATATTTCACGAAAGTTCATAATGAAATTATAAAATATTCTACATTCAAGGCCGATCGTTCCACATATATTAAAAAAAAGAAGACGATCACATCACATCTCAACTTAATCCGTCTATTATGTATATGTGTAGTTCCCCTCTCTATAAATACTGGCTACATAAACCTGGGACATTATTTATTGACTTTATATATAGTATACTATTCCCAGCATAAACTACACAAAAATACCGTGAAATATCGTTAAATTTTGGCTTCTTGTAAGTTTTTCAGAAACATTTGTTCTCAGTCCTTGTTACTGGTTGTCATATAAAGGTAACCATGATAAAGGACGATAACTAGTCATCAACCAGTATATATCTGTCTTAAGTAATTTAACAGAAATAAAAAGCAGCATATCATTAGTTAGTACCGAAAATATCAAAAGGTCTTCTTTACTGTTGCTAAACGTGAACCAGGATATAGAATGTTTAGTAATTAAGAGATGTTAATACTCTTAAAGATCAGACCGAAAAACAAGTGTTAGAAAAAGAGAGGGGAAAGATACCAGAGGAACATTCAAACTCATAAGTCGAAAATAAACTGACAACGCCATGCCTAAAAAAGAAAAAGACCAACAGACACATAATAGTACACAAAACACAACACAGAAAACTAAAGACTGAGCAACACAAACCCCACCAAAAACTGGGGAGTGATCTCAGGTTCTCCGGGAGGGTAAGCAGATCCTGCTCCACATGTGACACCCGTCGTGTTGCTCATGTTAGTACAAACCCGGTAATAAGTCTAATTCGGTAGGTCACATTCAGAAAAAGGGGACTGAGAAATGAGATACAAGTTTTGCCTTAATATTTTCAGCAATTATAGTAGATAAGCCAGATAATGCATCTGATTAGCTAACTAGAATTGAGAAACTTAACTCACGGAGTTAATTCATGAGCTAATCCAGTGTTTTTGTAGAACCCGATTTATCATTTGAACAAACGTAGTTATCCACCCATAAAATAGATTCCGGGGAAAACGCTTGAAAGAATCAAGTACTAGTGCTTGAATTGGTCAGCCCAAATTTACTAATTACAAAGAAAAACGAGACTCCCTGGTTCTTTTGACGTTCTGTTTAGATTTAAGGGTACTGAACTAAGTTACTAGACAATATGCATACCCTCTTCATATATCAAGCGACGCATGTGAAACTCTCAAAGGTTCTTTTTAGTTCCATGTGGTTGATATTCAAATTGGGTACTGACAACAAACAAAGAGTTCAGGGCGATGCCCATTGGTTGAGTCAAATTGGGTGTAGCTTTTAAATGGCAATGATAAAATTTAGTGAAAGTTTTGACAAATTTGTAATATCGAAAACCCTGGTGTGATAATTTTTCAGTAATACAGATATTTCTTTTGTTAAAATTAAATTCGATGTAACATACACGAGCAAATCGAACAAGTTGAGATATATAAACACCATACAATGGTGCCAAAGAAACGACACGGTGACCATCTTATAAAACGGATAATTAACAATAGGAAATGAAAATTTTCTCTTTCATTGAAAATTTTAGTATTCAGCTTCCCGTTAGAGATATATAGATATCAATATCCAGGAAAGGGCAGTGATCATTGTGAGTATTAGCTCTATTTATAGTAATCTGAACAGGATAACTCTCTTTAGTGTACATACTGAAGTCGTCATCATTGAGAACTAACATATAATCCGTTATTTAATTTTTGTATCAGATGTTGTATCGGTGGGTCTTAGCTGATTTTAGACATAAATTGTGACTCGTAATAACACAGAACTATCACTTAGCATGATTTGACTACCATTGTGGTTAAAAAAGTAATGAAAAACTTTCATATATAAGTACAGAGGTACCAAAATAACATGCATGCACTTTGTCAAACTATTATACTATTGTTGAAAGCTGTTGCAACATGTAAAGGCATAACAAATGCAGATATAATTAAAAACCAATTGTTCAGAGAACAATTGAAGGTCTTTCCACCAGTAAGGATCTATTTTGATATGAAATATTAAAATTTGGTTTTAAATGTCAATTCCAGAGTCAAATGACAGCTTATTGTACGCTGATTCCAAAAATATATGGTTTCTATACAAAAAGATATAAATAAGGGAGATAATTTTTTACTTCCGGTTTGAAAAATGTCACTTCTGGTATTGTTTGATAGTTAACTTGACACTGATTCCAAAAATATATGGTTCTATATACTTTTACATTAATTTAATACAAGAAATAGCTACTTCCGATTTACAAAAGGTCACTTCCGGTTAGCTTTTTCAAGTTCAAATGTCTTGCAACCTAATGCAAAAAGTCCAATGGCTTTATCATGTATACTTATGAGGTAAAAGCAAAGGTCAACATCTAGAACGTTAAATTTACCTATGACCTTGAGCTCAATTTCAAGGTCATAAACCAAGGACCTCAAATCAAAAGACCCTTGGTCTTAATTATATATGATAAATGAGTTATATCACCATACGTGTAATTTTAAATATAATAGGGGAGAAAACTCCCATTAAATGTCTCCGTACCCTTTCAACTCAAATTTACCTGTTACGACATATCGCAACTAACAATTCTGTAAAATATTTTGTCGATATCTTATAAGATTTTTGAAAATTAGTGATAACAAGCCAAAATCAAAATTTTGAACATGACCTTGACCTTTGACTTTGACCTCATTTTCATTTTTATGGACCAAGGACCTCAAATCAAAAGTCCCTAGGCCTCTATCACTTATGGTTTTCCAGTTAAAAATACATTTCACTTATATTAAATACAAAAGGGGAAATAACTCTCATATGGAATCTCTATACCGCTACGGTCAAAATAAAACAGAACATCCTGAGAATATAACGAGCAATTTGGAAAAATAAATTTGTCGGTTTCTTTTACGGTTGCGAAGCCTTAGAAATAACAAGAAAAACAGTGATCGGGGAGATAACTCTTATATGGGAAAGTATTCGGTTAAGCGGTGTCAGTTTCAAAAGCGTATAAACTGTTCGATATCATATTCCAAATATCTAAGCGACATCTTGCGAAACAAAAAAACAGCGAAGGAAAAAAATTAGGCGGAAGAAAAAAAAAAAATTAAAAACCAATTGTTCAGAGAACAATTGCAGGTCTTTCCACCAGTAAGGATCTATTTTGATATGAAAATATTAAATTTTGTTTTGAATGTCAATTTCCGCGTCAAATGACAGCTTATTGTACGCTGATTCCAAAGATATATGGTTTCTATACAAAAAGATATAAATAAGGGAGATAATTTTTTACTTCCGGTTTGAAAGATGTTACTTCCGCATTGTTTGATAGTTTACTTGACACTGATTCCAAAAATATATGGTTCTATATACTTTTACATTAATTTAGTAAAAAAAAAAGCTACTTCCGGTTTACAAAAGGTCACTTCCGGTTGACTTTTTCAAGGTCACATTGCTTGCAACCTAATGCAAAAAGTCCCTTGGCTTTATCATGTATACATATGAGGTAAAAGGAAAGGTCAAAATCTAGAACGTTAAATTTACCTATGACCTTGAGCTCAATTTCAAGGTCATAAACCAAGGACCTCAAATCAAAAGATTCTAGGCCTCTACTTTATATTGTTAATGAGTTATATTACCATACGACTAATATTAGATATAAATGGGGGGAAAACTCGCATCAAATGTCTACGTACCCTTTCAACTAAAATTTATGTGTTACGACATGTCGCAACTAACAATTGTGTGAAAATATTTTGTCGATATCTTATATGATTTCTAAAAATAAGAGATAACAAGCCAAAATCTAAATTTTGAACATGACCCTGACCTTTGACCTTGACCTCATTTTCATTTTTTTGGACCAAGGACCTCATATCAAAAGACCCTAGGCCTCTATCACTTATGGTTTTCGAGTTAAAAATACATTTCACTTATATCAAATACAAAAGGGGAAATAACTCTCATATGGAATCTCTATACGGCTTCTGTCAAAATAAAACAGAACATCCTGAGGATATAACGAGCAATTTGGAAAAATAAATTTGTCGGTTTCTTATACCATGTATACGGTTGCGAAGCCTTAGAAATAACAAGAAAAACAATGATCGGGGAGATAACTCTTATATGGGAAAGTATTCGGTTAAGCAGTGTCAGTTTCATAAGCGTATAAACTGTTCAATATCATATTCCAAATATCTAAGCGACATCTTGCGAAACAAAAAAACAGCGAAGGAAAAAAATTAGGCGGAAGAAAAAAAAAAAATAATAATCAGAAGAAAACCAATAGGTCTTTCCACGGAAAAGTGGAAAGACCTAATAAATACAAGGAACTGCTAAAATGAACAATGTTGATAAACTGAGGTTGTGTAGTGTTGTAAAAAATATCATGCCAAGAAATCCTCGCTAAAAACTCCGGTCGACCTCCTACGGCACCCATTAGTAGTTTAAGATTTGATTTCATTCAACAAATTAATTTATGACCTTCATGTACGTGTCGCTTAGAAC